CCAGCTGGACAATACGCAGTCCTGATTTGTTCAAATCCATTATCACTTGAAAGAATGGCAGGATTGAGGTAGTCTGAACACCAGCTTATGTCAGCAACTGCTTGGGGTCTAAATTCTAATTAGAAAAGATACTAAATAATGATTACAAGACACGTAATTGCTATTAACCAATAGTCAAAATAGATAAGACAATGCCTGTTTACTATACTTTGAACCGACTTCAGTGACTACAACAATTCTGACTCCCTGAATTCTGAATTCAGATTAAACTTCCTTTTTCTCAGTTTCCTGCCTCTCGTGTTTCAATGGCAAACGAGAGAAAGCAGCCCAGTGCTGATCAGGCTATTTCAGTACTTATGTTTTTCTTCAATTTTGGACTATTTTTCAGCCATCATGTTCTCAAATATTGCTTCTCTGCTATTACCTCTATTTTCTTAGAATGACCCACCTATTGACATTTGTGTATTTTTAAAATTTTTTCTCCATATAGCTTAACTGCTTCTTCATATTGTTTTTGCTCTTCTTTTTACTTATGCTGATTCAGGGTAAATTTGTAAGTGCTATTTTCCTATTTACCAATTTTTTTTTGCTTCTGAAAGTCTAGATCTATCCCAAGAAATTCCAGAATTTCTACTTTTTTTTAACCTAGTAGTTTAAAAATATAAAATAGTACAGAGTAAATATTGCTTTCTCCTCCCCACTTTTGCCTTCTGGCTATTGGGTCCCTTCCTTCCAGCATTCATGCTACCATGTCCCACTGTTTCATCTCAAAGATGTGATATGCATGTACAATATATGATATTGTATTATATAGACATATATTTATTTCCTCACATTGTTTGAATGGCAGTGTACTATCAACTGGGTTCTGCATCTTACTTTTTTTGCTTAGAAATATATCTTGGAAGTTTTTCTGATTCAATTTGAGATGCTCTTCCTCATTCATTCATGGTTGAATAGAGTTTTATTGGATGAATGTGCCATAATGTGTTCAGCCGATCTCATATTGACATTGAAAACAAATAACTTTGTACTTATTCTGCATATGTGTATGACTTTGAGGCTGTATGCTCAGAGGAGAAACCACTTGGGTCAAAGTCTATATAGATTTATCCAGAAATAAACCCTCATATATGCAGTCAACTAATCTTTGACAAGTTTTCCAGGAGTACACAGTAAAAAGGAGATGCTGCAGTCTCTTCAATAAATAGTGCTGGAAAAATTAGATAAAAATTAGATATCCAAAAGAATAAAATGGGACCCTTATCTTACACTATACACAAAAATTAACTTGGAATAAAGACTTAAGCATAAGACTTGGAACCATGAAATTCCTAGAGAAAAACAGGGCAAAGCTCCTTAACATTGTTCTTGGCAATGACTTTTTAAAAATGTGCCACCACAGCTGTGCTTGGTGGCTCAGCCTGTAATCCCGCGCCTTTGGGAGGCTGAGGTGAGTGGATTGCCTGAGCCCACGGGTTCAAGACCCACCTGGGCAGCGAGACCTCATCTCTACAATAAATCAAAAAATCAGCCGGGCGTGGTAGCGCATGCCTGTAATTCCGGCTACTTGGAAGGCTGAGGCGGAAGGATCGCCGGAGCCCAGCAGGTCAAGGCTGCAGTGGCCGGGAGCGGCCACTGCACTCCAGTCTGGACGACAGAGTGAGACTCCATCTCAAAAAAAATTAAAAAATAAAAAAATAAAATAAAAATATGCCACCAAAAGCAAAAATAAATAAGTGGAACAACAGCAAACTAAAAAGCTTCTGTACAGCAAAGGAAACAATAAACCAAATGAACATAAAACCCACAGAATGGGAGAAAATATTTATAAGTCATATAGCTGATAAGGGTCTACTATCCAAAACATATAAGGAACTTGTACAGATTAATAGCAAAAAATCCAAATAACTCAAATAAACAGGAAAAAGTCCTAAGTAATTTTTCCAAAGAAGACATGCAAATGGATAACTGAAAAGATACTCAACATCACTAATCGTCAGGCAAATGTAAATCAAAACCACAATGGCATATCACCTCATACATGTTAGGATGGCTATTATCAAAAAAATAAGAGATAAATGTTGCTGGCCATGGTGTGTGTGCCTGCAATCCCAGGTACTTGGGAGGCAGAGACAGGATTGCTTGAGACCAGCCAGAAGTTTGAGACCAGCCTAGGCAACATAAAACGACTCTGTCTCTTTAAAAAAAAAAATTATCCTGGTGGAACGGTAAGTACCTGTAGTCCTAGTTATTTGGGAGGGTGAGGTAGGAGAATTGCTTGAGCCCAGGAATTTGAAGTTACAGTGAGCTATGATAGTGCCACTGAACCCCAGTCTGGGTGATAGAGTGAGACTCTGTCTCTAAAATAAATAAATAAATGTAAAAATAAATTTTAAAAACTATTTTAAAAGAGAGATAAGTGTTGGTGATGATGTGGAGAAAAAATAGTCCTTATATGCCATTGGTGTGTTGTACATT